GCCGCGCCAACTACCGCCAGTTCGCGGCCTGGGCGAGGAAACTGGATCCGGCCGCACCCAACTTTGAGGCCTACCCAGAGGCGGTCAACACCGACCCGTGGGAGGGGCTTGGTCCGATCTGGTATTGGGACACGCGCGACCTCAACGCCCATGCCGACAAGGGCGACCAAGAGATGGTCACGCGCCGCATCAATGGCGGCCTCAACGGCTACGCCGACCGGCTCGACTGCTACGCCAGGCTGGCGCTCGTGACGCTGGGCTACGCCCCGGACGCGGTGCGCGCCTTTCAGGCTGACAACCGCCTCACGGTTGACGGCGTTGCTGGTCCGGCGACGCGCTCATCGCTGCATGCGGCGCTGAGCCGTCAGGGCGCGCCGGCAGCGCCGGTCGTGGATACCGCCCTGCCGGCGCTGCGCAGGGGCGACAAGGGGCCCGCCGTGGCCACCCTCCAGACACTGCTCAACGCCGCTGGCCAAACGATTGGCGTCGATCGCGACTTCGGCGACCGCACCCATGACGCCGTGCTGTCGTTCCAGAGCGGGCGGCGTCTCCTGGCTGACGGCGTCGTCGGCCGCAACACCTGGGCAGCGCTCATCGCCGCCTGAACCCCGGAGCATCCCAGATGAACAGCAATCTGACGCTGCCTGTGCGCCAGGCGCTCATTGGCCTCGGCCCTTTGCTCGCAGCGATCGGCTGGATTGATGAGACGCAATGGGGCGCGATCGTCGGCCCCGTCTCCACAGTGCTCGGCCTACTGGGCGCGCTGATCGGCGTGGTCTGGCAGTGGCGGGTCAGCACCGCAAGCGCCAAGGTAGCGCAGGTCGCCGCCCTGCCCGGCGTCGTCGGCATCGTGACCAGCGACCCGGCGCTCGCGCGGACCGCCGGGCAGATGCCCCCGGACAGCGCCCCTGTGATTCTGGCCGCTTCCCTTGCGGCTGCGGCCGCAACGGGCGATGCCGCCGGCGTCTGAGTAACAGTCATGTCCGGCATGTGGTCACATCACATGCTGGGACACGGGCGGAAACTGGTGCCCGTGTGCGGACGGCGGGCCTGGGCGGCGGCATGGCGCGCGCCCCCGTCAATGCCAGCCCTGCATGGACGAGGCGCCTGTCGTGGGCGATAGTTGGCCCGACCACCACTGTCGAACTGCCCCCCCAGCCACACGAATCCACGCCCGCCGATTCGCGAAACTGGACGGCGCGCGTGGGCAAGCAACAGGCGCTGTCTCATTCATCGCCGTCCCCGCCGGCTGAGCGCCGCGGTCACGCGCGTTGGCCAGCAACCCCAAAACCAGCAAAGCGCTCGCCTTGTCCCGAACCGCCACGCCGCCGCCATTGCCGGGCGACACTTCCGGGCGCCTAGCGTCGCCAGCCGCTGTGGCGCGCCCGTCCGGGGTCCTACAATCACGCCAGCGCAAGCTGCCGCCTAGCGGCTGTCGCATGCGCCTGTTGTCCAAGGAATGATCGCCGTGCTGGAAACCCGCGCCGGCGCCGGGGCCAGACTGGCGGACGCTGCGGCGGAAATGGCGACCCCGGCAGGATTCGAACCTGCGACATTCGACTTAGAAGGTCGACGCTCTATCCAGCTGAGCTACGGGGCCATTCAAACGGGGGGGGGATCCCCGCAAGGCTGTGCGGCGCAACAACCAATGCGCCGCGGGCGCCGGCAAGCCAGAAACGCCCACATTTTCCGTTACAAGACTGCGCTTACCTGTCTGCGAGCAACTTGGCCACAATCTCGTTGGCCAGCGCCGCCTTTCCCACAGTCGATCCTCGATTCAATCGATCCCGGGCGCAAACAAACATGACCGCAATCATGCAAGACTGCCGAGCGTTATCTGCGCATCATAACGCAGCACGCTCGCTGCAAAACGAGGGCCCATACCGGCCCGTCACCACGCCTGTCGCGTCAGTGAGTCCAGGGACCCTTGCGATCGGAGCGGAAATTATCCGAATAAGCCGGATTGAGACGCGGGCGGGTCGGGCGAGGCTCCTCAACACGATAGTCGATGCCATTGCGCTGAGCATAGGCCACCGCCTCCTCCTTCGTGTCAAACCACAGACGCAACTGCTGACGCGTGTCAGCAGAACTGGTCCAGCCCATCAGGGGCTCCACCCGTCGCGGCGACGCCGGATCGAACGCGAGAAGCCAGCGGCGGGACTTGCCCTTGCCAGACTGCATCGCGTTGCGTGCGGGCTGCAGGATACGAGCGGTCATGTCACATTCCCGTGTCGAACCATGGCGACCGTATGGCCGCAGATGAGTTTCGCCTAGCATCTTGGCTGGCGAAAGACAATCGCCGTCA